GCAAATACTGTATATAGTTTAAAACTAGAAAATGTCAGTTTGGAAAATGAAACTTCTATAATTGTATTATCTATGAAAATCTTAATAAAATATCTAAAAGGGCCCTTGATCATTTATTATTTGAAAAAAATGTTTCCTATATTTCAAGGAATTAATTCTGTTATTGACTGATGTTTAATGTAATTATAGAAAACTGGAATGAAACTCATTGTAAAGTGTCTGTTTTTCATTTGCCACTTAGTTAGATCATCTATGTTTTTTAAAATAAGATTTACAAAGAAACAAATGATTATAGTTTAGCTACACATTGTATGTGTGTTTTGGACAGACATTGACACTACAGGCTGTTTAATGAGAAGGTAAATTAAAATGAGCTTATTGATTAAAAAATTAACTCACAACCATATCAGAGGCAGGTTATATCCTGCACAGGTCAAATTCACATCCAGTTACATAAAATCTAATTTGGTCCAAATTTAGGTCCATCACAATCCAAAATATTATTTACAACCCTGGCTAGTGAGCTTTTTGCATCTTTCCACTGGTATTTTGACAATTTATCTTTGGTGATCAAGCTCCAAGTCTTCAGTTTGGCAGGCCTCCTTGCCATCACCCTAATCTTTAACTCCTCCCACAGATTCAAGTCAAAAGTCTGGCTGGCCCACTCCAAAACATTAAAATTACTTCCTGTCAGAAGAAACATGTAGGTAAAATAAAAAGAACACACTGGCCTAAATGTAGTCAGATTCAGATCCAATTACATACTATTCATACATTCTAATACATTCTAATTGTAGTCCAACAGGGTCAAATTCAGTTGGCCTTTTGAAGCTAATAGGGTAGCAAGTAATCAGTCCAGTGTATCTAGTGATTACAATAATCCCTCCTTCTGCATTAGCATGTTTTGACTTTGGAAAGGAACCCTTAACCAGATGTAAAGTATACACAACAAGTCAAATTTTCCAAAATGAGTTCCTTATGTTTTAAGATAGTGGACTATATAGAGGACAGTGATAAAATAGGAGAGATAAAGCATCTTTGAAACAGCTGAATTAAAACAACGCTATTTAGGTTATTGTGCCAACCAACTCCTGGAAATAATATCCACCAGTGCAGCCTGGGCGTCCTTTAACACCACAGGGTTGGTTGCAGATCGGACACAGTATACTGTTTTGAGCTAAAGTATAATGTCAAGGCTAGCAGAGGGCGGAATAAACAGAATAATCCAACACCAGGATTACTAAACAAGTAATATATGGGTTAAAAAGAATGATTCCTTTTCTATAATGGTGATCATAACAGGGTCCCAGTGCAGGGCACCAGTTCATCCACAGGGGCTTAAACCATGTCTAAAGGCTTTTAACTTAATGTTTTTTGGACTGTGGGAGGACACCCAGCCAAGAACCTTTGCATTTACAAGGAGAGCATACATATGCCAGCTGCTGCAGCTACTTTAGGATTCTAATAAATTCAGGTAAAGATAGGAACATAGCAATCTAGGGAAAAATAAAAAGAGAAAAACAAGTTCTTGCTGTAAAATGCTTCAAATGGACAGTAAAACAGTTACCTTTACCCTAGTTAAAGGAGATAAGCCAGGTCAGAACTTTAAAAGTTCCAAAAATAAACTTATCAAACTCTGTGGCTTGAAAGCAGTTTCAGATCCTGTCCAATGGGATCACACAGTCGCCAGTTTCCTTGATGGGTCAAGGCTGCGGATCCAAGATAAACCAGAAAGTACACATCCTGCAGAAAAATAGCTCAGCTGTGATTTGGTCCAGCAGCTGTTAACTCTGCTTGTGTGGTAAAATGGTATTAAGGAAAGCCAGGTAAGGTCCAAACAGTGACGGTATTGCTTTGAATGTAGTTACTGCACATGGTGGTGCACCTATAAGTTTGTCACTTTTGTTTCTGTGTCGTAAGAGTTAACTTCCTGTTAATCTGTCCCCAGCTCTCAATCCTGATGTGTAATTGTATTAATAAATAGCAGCAAACCATAATTAAAGTAGAGTACTCATTATCTATTAATCATTGGACATCTTTTAGAGGTTAGTTAGATGTAACGAAAACAGTCAAACCAATCACCATGACTGACTCAGCTGTAAACAGTCAGTCCACCATGATGACACAATAACTCGGCTTTGGTTTTGTTGAGCTGATTAGTTCACCGGTTTACTGACTTGTCGAATAAAGACACAAAAACAAATTTTTTGCCACAACGTCTGTGGCAAGTATTTCAAAACATAACAGAGAAGTTCTTGGACAAGAAGAAAAGAGGGAAGGAGCAACTTGCAAGAGAGAGAATGCAATATCAAAAATAAGTCTTGGTGAACTGTAATAATTTTCTTTGTACAAAATGGTGACTTAATGTTGTTCAACACTGAAACCTCAGAAACCCTGTGCATGTTGCCTTAAAAACATTTAATCATTCATCTGACTTTTTGCTTTTCTTTTTAATGAAGTGAGCACCAACAATTCATGGTTACACTGAGCCTAATCAAGTGTATTTTGTCATAAATGCTTGTGCACATTTTGTTAAATTGATCAGAAGAGACTCTGTAAAAAATGCATTCACCCATTGTTTTCCAATCAAAGTCTATAGAGTTATTTATAGATGATAACAATAACAAAGTCAGTACAGTATTTTGTTTTATATTATGCACATGTATTCAGTCATGCAGCTATCGCAGGTTTCAGTGATGCAACTGGGCATAGCACAGTACTTACAAGGCAGCACTCTGTGTAGAAATGCTAAGGTCATAAGTTCAAATCTCTCCTGGAGTGAAACTTGTCTTCCCATTCTTAAGTGAAAACTGTCCCTTCTGTAGAGCAAAATGAGGTTGTGAGTTTGCTGCCTCTCCTGTTAAGTTTACTGCATGTACTTCAGCAATCAGCCACCTCACTACTTAATAATTCAGAATCAGAATCAGCTTTATTGCCAAGTTCGTACATACAAACAAGGAATTTGACTCCGGTACACTTTGCTCTTTTGTTTTGTTTTTGCATTACAGAATATACATATTTACAATGTACAATATACACATATATAATAAAAAGGTGCATTTGTTCATTAATTCAATCAAATGCTGGGTTAAAACCTCAGTTGAGGTCCGGTTCAGGTACTCACTACTTTAACTCAAAGTAGCCAAATCACAGACTGGAACTATATGGATGTTCTGTATCTATGATTATGCATTTTTGATAACCATTAATGCAAAAGTATTCATACCCCTTTGCACTTTATATTTTTAATAAAAAAAATAAAAATCTGAAAATGAGGTTTACATTTTTGTTCAGCCCCACTTTACTCTAACTACTCGATCTACTACCCCTAGATAAAATACAAACCTGTCAAGACATTTCTGTCTACCTAAACGGACGACATGAAGGTGTGCCAGATAAATGGACAAGGGACCTCTGGAGGAGCAGCAGAGATCCACAACTCAAGTGGAAGAATTTGTTGAAAAGATAACCACTATTTGTGGCCACAACAAATCTACCCTTCATTGAATGAATGGCAAGAAGAAAGCCATTGTTAAAAAAAAGCCATAAGAAGTCTGCAGTTTAGCACAAGCCATGTAGGGGACAAAGGTTGTGAGTTCAAACCTCCTGTAGGGCACATTGCCATGAACACACCACCTCCCATTGTGAAACATGATAGTGGTAGCATCATGCTTTAGAGATGCTTTTCTTTAACAGGGACAGGAAATACAGGTCAATACTGCAAGAAAACCTGTCAAGGGCTACATAAGTCTTGGGTTTGGAGCAGAGGTTCCCCTTCCAGCACGATATTACCCATAAAGCAAGAGCTACAATAGAATGGTTAAGATCAGAGTGGATTTATGTGCAAGAATGGTCCAGTCAAAGTCCAGTCCACACTCTAATTAAGAATCTGTTGCCAGACTTGAACACTTTCAGAAACAGTTTCCTTCTAATATAATGGAGGTACATTTATTTTTCAAGGAAGAATAGAGAAAACAATGCAGTTTTGTTTTGCATAGATAATGGAGACAACCCCATAAGACTTGCAGCCATTACTGCAGCCATAAATGTTAAAAACTCTGTATCATTTCCATTCCACTTCACAAATATATGCTACTTTGTGTTGGTCTGTCAGATAAAATCCCAATAAAATATGAGTGTGCAGTTGTAATTTCACCAAAACATGAAATTGTGAATACTTTAACAAAGAACCAGACTTTGATATTGACTTTGATATTTTACTACAAAGAATGTAAAAAAGAAAAAAAAGTGTAGTCTTATGGGCATGCTTCGTTCTGCCTTGAAGCTTGCTCAACCAAAAGCTGTCGATTCCAGTGCTGTATGTGGTTCTGATAAGGCTATATGAGGTTAAGCAATGCTGAGGTTATAAGTTTGAGCCTTATTTGGTGCAATTTTGTACTGTAAACACAATTATAATAGAAGGTTGAGTTTTCCATTAGAAACTGAGAATGAAGAAACACCACAACCCAAAAAATAAACATTCATTATGATCATATTTGAATTCTAACAAACCTTTTTGAAACAGATAGGCAGTATTAGAGACTAGTGTCTTTCTCAGGATTAAAGATTTCGTTGTCAAACAAGGTGCCATAATATTGAGAAAAAACTTTCTCAATATTAAGAACATTAGTTCTCAGTTTCCACAACATTGGCATTTACTCAGTGTTATGTTATAATAGTTGGCAATAAGAAAAATAATAATATAATAATTCTTCACACAGACAAATCATCTTAACTTCATTAATTATCGTTGGGGTATTTAGCAGTCTCGCTTTATGATGTGCTACTTTTACATATAATGTAAAATAAACTTACTCATTGCAATTGAGGATTAAGGTCTCAAGATTGGTCTCTATCACTCCATCACTGTTTTCTCTGCATTCTGCAAATCTTCAACAACCTGCTAGGGACGCAGGTATTGAAAGAGAGGAAAACTGAATGGACATGAATCCTTCTGCTTGGAAGGATTTTGATTTTCAGCGTCTTGCAGCACACTGTGAGCTCCAGTGGCGCAATCGGTCAGCGCGCGGTACTTATAAGGCAGTACACATTGAGCAATGCTGAGGTTGTGAGTTCAAGCCTCACCTGGAGCACTTCTTTTCGTCTGAGTAGATTTTCGGGCCGTATTATAATAACAAGACAATATACAAGTCCTTCTCAAAATATTAGCATATTGTGATAAAGTTCATTATTTTCCATAATGTCATGATGAAAATTTAACATTCATATATTTTAGATTCATTGCACACTAACTGAAATATTTCAGGTCTT